AATACTCCAGTGCCAGCCGCTAACAGCAACTGTCTCTGTGTGGGGGTTTCAGGTAACTTTCTCTACTTCTCCGCTCTTCTCATGTATCCCTATAAGAACATTCCTCCCATTATTTTTCATAATCCTACTGAGAAAAAAAAAATCTATTCCTAGAATGATTCTACAAATACCAGAATACACGATGAATCCACCTATAAACGTGTACACCAAGGAATGGATTTACTGTGGCTCAGACAAAGACACAGCACACAGCAGAGGCCCAGTCAATGAAAAACACCCTGGCCACCAGGACCTGTGGCCCAATGGGCGGTGAAGCCTGGGACAACACTTACATACACATCAACAAAGAGAGTGTGTGTGCATGACCCGGTATATGGCACTGGTCTGGTCTCAGCGTGTGCACAACCTGAAGCACACGCTCCAGCACATGTGTCGCAGTGACACAAGGGGTAACGTGATATTCTAGTGAGATCTCCTGTTCTCTTGCAGGGCTTTGCTGTGGGACACTGAACGATCTTTTGTACCTCCTTATCATTTTGAGTAATCCTGACCTTTAATTACCCTCCTGGTAGCCAGAGCAGAAGGTAACAGACTGGCCCAAAAGAGCTCCATGGGGCTCAAGCATCTAAAGCATCCACACCAAGTGTGTTCTGGCATGTTTCCTCTTCCTCTCTTTTTATACACAGCATGTCAGATGCAGAGGTTAAAGGCAAACTCGAGGGTACCAGGACTCCAAAATCTACTTGTGGATCAGACTCTTCAGAAAAAGCTCACGTTCCAGCCCCAGAATCTCACACCGTGGGGACGGGAAGTGTTAACAGTACAGAGCAATGCTTTATCCTTACTTAGAATACATACCAGTCCCTAGGTGAGGTGATTTCATTAGAGACTTACTGTGTGGACACACAACACATACTAACCCACAGACACCCCACAGACACTTTCAACAGCACAGAGTGGCAGGACAGACATGGACAGCTCCCCGGCACCCCCCGCCCCAAGTGCCGTACTCAGCTCTGAGTGCCTGGGTACTCCTGGGCTGCCGCTGGCCGCTGGAGAAAAGCCTCTCCACACCTATCTGCCAGAGCTTTCCTGTTCCCAGAACTCTGCTCGGATCTGGGCAAACCCCACACTTACAGCCATAAATGCATTGGCCCTGAGAAAGGCTGCTGAGGACTCCAGGTGTGGCTTTATCTGTCACTTCACCAGGTCAGCTATTTAGGCCTAGTCTTCTCCATTGGGCTGAGGCTCTGTTCACACCATCTCGGGTAACACATCACATTATTCTTCCTTATAAAAACAAACAAACTCAAGTGAGCATTCAGAGTCAGTCCACCCTCCGAGCATCTGTCTTCCCCTGTGAGTTAGGAGAAGAGCTGTGAGCCCGCCCCCGAAGGCTCCCCGTACCCTCAACTAAGGACAGGGCAGCTGCCTTCTTCCACCCCTCAGGCTCCCCCTCCTCACCTCCGCAGAGTGCGCGGACCCAGGATCTCAGCCTGCCGGCCACCACTGAGTCACCAGGAGCACAGCACTGCAGTCCCTGGCACTACCCGCCATCAGCTACCGCTGTGAGTCTAATTACTGCACTCTCCCTCCCCACCCTCCACGGAAACCGACCGTCCTGTGAGGCGGGACCAAAGGGAAAAGCCAATGTTTTCATCCTGACAATGGCTCCCCTCTGAACCAGTGCATCTGAAATTTATACAGTTCTAGAGAACAGGAGCTGGACACATTCGTTCCTAGTTGACTGTTCCCACAGCCAGTTTCTACAGGCATTTCTGGAATAACTATAATCCACTTCAGTGCAATACACGGCTCAAGTTTAAAATTCAGGGCCGAAAATAAAACCTACAATGCAATAAGGCATCATATGTTTCATAACTGAGTGTAGAAACAGGTATGAGAAATGATCAGACTTCCTGAAGGCTCAGCAGGAAAGCTGTTCTACAGAACTCCTACAGTTGCCTTTCCCCACCCCACCCCACCTGCAAGTGTGGACCTCCTCAAGCTCAGCTGCCGATGGTCAAACTACGGTCCTTTGCAATAAGCTGACAGTTTGATCACTGACAAGCACACCGGGCAACATGCAGAGAGACTTTTGTGGAAACAGAGTTAGAGTTAGAGCTAATACAGAGAGGAAGGAAAAATGGAATGCCTTATCAGAACTGAGGATTTCTACCTTTCATGGATGGCACATCGTTTGAAACACACGTCTGCACTGACGTGTACCACAGAGGCTTCTTTTGTTATAATCTGTTTGTTGGGTGATTTAGCCAGAGAATCTTATATAACACATTCCTGTTTTCAATGTAACACGTATGGCATTGCACTCATAAAATTCAGACTCCCCACAGCATGTCCCAGTCATTCTCCCCTGTAAGATTTCTACGTGGTTGATGAAAGCACAGGCACTACCACCAGCAATAGTAAGTAACAAAGAATCAGTAATCAGCTTTATCCTACATGCAAAAGCTAGCATCCTGTGGGATGGTTTCAGAAAACCGTTCCATTCTGATTTTCATGGGTTGTATGAACCTGACCTACGGGGGACAGGAGTGCAGTGTTCTAAGCCTAAACACACGTGAGTGTACCTGGGTCTTCCAGGACAGAGCACAGGAACGCTACCTACTGCCTCTGCATTGGTGTGCTCTGTGACCAAACCCTTGCATCTGATTTCCTTAACAAAGCAGCAGGAGACCCGCACTGCTCGTCTGGCTGGAAAGCACATAACATAGCTACAGCTTAGGAACTTCCATTCATGCCAGCTCAACAAACAATGTGTATTATATAATGAGAGAGTCTTTTTCTATGCACCCTGCTAGAAAACACAGGCACTTTCTGCACAGTTTAAACCAGTCTATAAGGAGCTGTTTCCTCTTGTGAAATCAAACATGTACCTGCGAACAGAAATTCCAACAGCCTATACTCTTGGATGCTCTTGCTAGCACTCTAACGTCCTTGCTACTTGACAATAAATAATTCCCGTTAACCGCAAACTGCACAGAGAACATTTACACAGCAGCCAGCAAGTACCTGAATGATGCTGGCTTTCAGCTCCATGTTCCCTGCGTTGCCTAAGAAATGGGGGGGGGGATAGTGGGAGGAGGATGAGGAGGGGAGAGAATCAGCTATCTATGAAATACTTACAGCCTCCGAGTCGTCAATTCCGTGCAGGTACAAATTGTCATACATGGAGGTCTGATAATCCAGAGCACCTCTTTTAAGGCAAAAACAAAATTGCTGCAGAAACCACAGCTAGAGCTAAAAGAGAAACGGCCTGTTTGGAAGAACTGCGCCTGTCTTATCAATTCCTGTGGATGTGCCAGGCAAGAGGCTATTCATTCGCATCACCCAGGGTGAGGCTATCCCCAGAGGCAGTCCAGACCTGGCATTTTATCTGCCTTCCCAATAAAGAGCATAAAAAGCAAAAGCCTTCCTCAACCACAGGCTGGTGACTGAGCAAGGAAAGCCGCCTCTGATTGGCTCGGCTCCCCTGCTTCAGTCAGCTGAAGAGCGTTCCCCGGGAGAGCGGAGGGTGACTCGGAGCATCCTACCCAGCAAAGAGCTGCTTCCTGTTTTGCCTGGGTTTTTAGCTCTACAATAAACACTCTCAGTATCCAAAAGGCTGCATGAAATGTTTGGGAAGGCAGGCTACCGAACACTCTGAACACAACCACTCATCTTCCTGATTAAATGCACAATCTGGGGAGCAGAGGAGAGATCTTATTTTCAGAGAATACCGTGTAAAGACAGGCAAACAGATACTAATCTCTATGCAACATCTGTACTTAACAGATGTGATTTAAGTCAAAAGGGCAGTAAGTCATATGGAATTTTTAAAAAACCGACAGTGAAGGAAAAATGGATGGAATAACATATGGTAAGAGTTCTTGAGGGAATTCCTAGAGTAAAAGTTTTCAATATTCTCATCGAAGTCTCTCCATCACTGGTAAGAAAATACCTTTGTTTCACAACTAGCTAAGTTTCAAAGGGATGCCCAAAACCCTCTCAGCTTTTAAACGTGAAACTGCTGAAGGACTTTTTAATCTGTTTAACCTCCTTTAAGTAACAGCCAATCCTCTGCTTAACCCATCATCTGCTTTCCTACGCATAAACTTGAACGGTCCTAAAACAGCACTCATCTTTCCTCCAAGCTCTCCGTCCCTGCTCTCACCACACCATACTTAGGGTGACCTGGTAAAAGGCCCCACATCCAGCCCACCTGACATCAGCATAGTCTCCTGCTGATACTTAGGGCTTTCTGGTCAACCAATAACATACTGAAGCTTTGAAAGGGAAGAGTCCTATAGCTCATTCCCAAAGAAGCCACCTATATTTGTCGGGGGAAAAAAGAAGTTGGTGAGAAGCTAAGAATGTAACCTGTGTGAATCGCTGGCGTAAGAAATGACCCAGAAACTCAGAGACACCATCTAGTATGAGCTTCACTACTAACTGGTCAGATGATCCTGGTCTGGTCAGTTGCCATCTCTACGGGCTTTGGTTTCTGCAGTTGCCAAAGTGAGGTAACAAACAACTCAGAGAAAACTCCGCAAACCTGAAGTGCTACAGAAGAACAACAATCCCTTATCAATCCCAACCCTGATCTGTCAGCTGAGAGGCCGTGCTGAAGTTCACAGGAGCTCAGCGCAGGAGTAACTGAATAAGCCTGGACCCAGGAGATGAGGCCTTTCCTTCTGGGCAATATCTCTGAAAAGCGTAAGTCTTAGAGCGACAAACCTGAGTCATAAAGTGCAACACAAGATCTACTAATGCAGGGGAAAGTGCTTACGAGCACGTAAGTGCTGACCTGATAACGCCTCTCAGTCAGCTGCACACCTCAGAAATGCCACCAATACTCACTTTCAAACCCAACAGACGACAAGGGGACTCAACTGTCCTTCAGGCTGTGCCCACACGGTTGGGGCTGGCAGGGGAGTCTGGGTGCAGTCAGGAGGGTTTCACACAAAGAACTCCCAAGCCAGCTCCAGCTGCTGACAACTGCGTGTGCTGGAGGCCGGTGCTGCACTGAGGTGCCCTGAAAAATCAGTCTTTTTCAGGGCTCAACGCAGAGAACCTTAGGACAGAGATGGTCAGTTCCGTAATCTCTCTAAGCCTCAGAGTTCACTCTTCTGGGGACTCCTCATAGTCTTTGGGCGGAGACAGTGAGGCTCAGTCACGGTGATCCTCTGCCTCGGCCTCCCGAGCAGTGAGACTATAGGCACCTACTGCTACACCCGGCTCCAGACTCTGTTGTTTTAATCAACTCTCTAACTATAGCCATACAATGTTTTAGCCAGAATCTACAGAAAATTGAGACAAGGGGTTTTTTTTTCCGGATTATATCCTTACTTGGCCACTTCAATTGAGAGTACAATATTTCCTGACTGTTTTAAAATGAGAATCAATTAAAAGGAAAAGAAAGAGGCTGTCCACTTGTATAATTCACCAAAATGAGAAAAACTGTTCCCTGCTGGGAAAACTGTATGTGGCTCAACTGCTCTTCTGTGTTAGGCAGCCTTCGAGTGCTCCCTAAAGTTCATACAAGGGCCTAAGGAAGTTTCTTCTACTTGAAAAATGGGGGGCTTGTTTCATGATATACCAGTGTGCACAGAAAGTGAGGGTGACTTGGGGTGGGGATGCCCACAGGGAGACGCTGAACCAGGCACATGGCTACAGCTATCCTTGTAAGCCTACACCCGGCTCCTCGGGGATGAGAACAGTGTGCGGCAGGGGTAGTCTCTCTCTGTCTGCTCCCTAGGAGCCCAGAAAAATGCTGGACCGACTGGTAAGGAACTTCAGAAGAAACTCACCTAAATCTTTGATAACGGAAAAGGTTAAATCGCTTTACTCAAAGCTACAAGTTCTACACAATCCGCACATTCTTTCATCATTGCACTCTTGATGCATCTTTCAAAAGCAGGCATGAGAGAGTGTGCACATTCCCCAGAAACTCAGTGAAATAAAACTCATCCTCGTGGGGCAATCCTGGTCTTTCTCATGCTTTCCATCCTAAAAACTGTCTATTAAACATTTGTTTACCCACAGACGACAGCTAGAAAGTAAGTAACAGACTGACCCTAAGGCCTGGATCTGCACAGGGTAAGAGCCACACTCACAAGTCACGTAAAGGCTTCAACCAGTGCTTGGGCTGATTGATCCTAGAGTTCCAGAGGAGCCTCAGTGAGATTCAGGTCTGGGTCTCCCCCAAAAAACTATGAGGAGCCCCCAGAAAAGTGAACTCCGAAGCTTAGAGAGATGATGGAACTGACCATCTCTGTCCTAAGATTCTCTGTGCTGAGCCCTGGAAAGGACTGAGAGGTCTAGGGAGCGCCTCCTACTTCAGAGCTCCCCGGTTCTCCAGCTTTTGGTGACGAGCCCCAGGGGTTCTAGCACATTAAACCCCAAGGACCCAGTTTCCAAGGTGCCGTCCCATAGTCCATTGCGGCAAAAGGTGAAAAGCAACAGGGAACGGGCACTGCCTTGCTCACCTAGCTGAGTGATGGCGACAGACGTGAGGGACAGAAAGCACCCTCTCCCCTGCTCTCTGCCCTCCTCACACCAAAATAAGAACAGGTCTGAAAAGTCAGCGGCCCATCTGGTGTTGCTGTTTCCCAGTAAGGCACCTACTGGTCATCCCTGAGATGCCTCCAGCCGCACGCCGCAAGGAGCCTGCCTCCAAGCTGAGCTGCTCTCCTGACCGCGTGTCTATCTGATCCACTTCCTTTCAAGCCGTCTCTCATTACAATCAACAATTCAGAGTCGTAAGACCCTGTGAAAAGGCACTGCCTGTATAACTCTGTATCTATACATCCCACAGTGAGGAGGTCGTCCTTACAACTGGACAAATCCCTTAAATGAGCTCTATTCAAGGAAGGGAAAGACTTGGCTCTCAATAAACCAGGAAAGCCATTCAGTATCATAGGGAAACTACTTCCAGTTAGTCTTTGCCGGCTTCACTTTCTGAAATAAGGAGCCCCTCTGACTGCTCTGTGGTACAGTAAACCTGAGGATGTGACAGCGGAGTCCACAGAAGAGGATCTCTGTTTTCCACACGTTTGGAAAGGGAGAGGAAGACGGACAGAAAGGGCGGGAGTGGGGGCTGAGCTACGAGTTGGGGGCAGCCGTGGTCAAACAACAGGTGCAGATTTAGAAAGCAAAGGAAATTTTGCCATCCAGTTTCCCGCCCCGATTTCTCTGGAGTTGAACTCCTCTCAGCCAGTGTAGTTGTGGATTCTACAGCAGGACTCTGAGAGGTCAAAGAAGAGGAAGAAAAGAGTCTGGACTTGGCAAAGACAACTTCTTTTTTGGCTGCAGCCTACAACGTAAGCCCAAGGTCTCTGCTTGCCAAGTCAGCCTCAAGAATCATTTCCCTCTTAGCTTTCGATTCAGTTCTACTGACTACGGCACGCTAGATGACCGCTCCTCTTCTGCTTTGCGAACTCTAATCCACTCCTCCGCCTTGAGAGACCTGCGCGGCACTGTGAGTGCTAATACTGTGCCATTTTCTCGCTGGTGCCCTTCAGACAGGCAAGAGGGCAGAGGAACGAGAACAAAGCCTGCAAATGACAGGTTCTGCCTCTAGTACTCGTCTGCTACAATCCTCCGAGTTTGAATTTAGACCTCACTGCCCAGGCAGTTACATCCTCGAGCCCCCTGGGCCTCATCTGTAACGCGGCAAGAACAGTAATTTTTAAATTAATGAGCTCATATGCGAAAGACACCGAGCAGGCAGAACACAAGAGCCGACCTTTTATTTTTAAGAGACGCAGTACTGAGCCAGGGCTGGCTGTGCTGCCCGGCGCCCCTCCCGCACACACGCGCATCGCGGGCGCTCCGCGGGGCATCCGACGGGCAGCGTGGTGAAGAGCAGGGACCGCAGAGCCAGACTCCCTGCCGTGTCAGCGGCGCCGTCTGTTGGGTGACACTCAGCAGGCTGTTTCCCCTTCCATGCCCCCACCACCTCACTTATAAAATGCGGACTACACCAACATTCTTGCGCAAACTAAAAGCCTTGATATAAGAAAATGCTTAGAACAGGCCCTGCCACGAACTCGGAGCTTCTCAGGCATCAGGCTGCTGCTCCGGCTCGCATCATCTCCCTCGGCCTGGATTGGGGCCTAACGCCGGCAACCTGTGCCTCTGGTGGGAGTCCTGATACTTCCCCTGGTGCAGGCCGGGTCCTCCCAGCCTGCCGGGGCCCTGGTCTCAGCACGCGGCCGCCTGCCGCCCTGCTTAGCTTCACGCCAGTCCTCCGGCTGCCGCCCTGCTCGCTCCGGCCGGCCGGCTGCCCCTTATGCTCATGCTGGCACGCCTGTGCAGACCTCCTCGGACAACAGCCCCGCCCTCTGCGTCTTTCCTTCACACCTGAGTGTGCCCAGCGCCCGTACACC